GCATGCCTGGAACAAGATTGTAAATTCGAATTATTAGGTTTATCGTCTTTCGTTCGTCATAGCAATATTTTGATAATCGATATCTGTGAGCATTCAATGTTTTTATGAAATTCATTAGCATGCCCGATAAATTGTAGCACATGGATGGCTCCGGCCTAATACATGAAATGTACAATTAAATGGAAAACCAGACGAACATTGTTGTACTGTTAATTTCTAACGATCTAATTTATTCGATAACTCGTAAGTTCTGATGGAACTTTTAATTCAGTATGCTTAATAAACCTGATGCAAATGAAGCGATGGATCGATGTCAAGCATGATTATAGGTAGTAAACATGATTGAGATAATATATAAATTTTATAATATTAATTGTATTGTAGAGAGAGAAAAAAGAGAGATGTTATATTTATCCACTAAATATGGATAATATAGATTATATATTTACAAATCCAAAAATGGTTTGGATAAATATAACTTTATAATATTAAAAATCTCTTATATTTACCCATATTTACCACATATAATCATACCTTTATATAATGTCAAACACTCAAATAGACACAGAGAGAAATTTAATGAAATTATAACCGTTGAGATTTAGTAAGAGTTTTTAAAATCAGCAGTAATGAATTGTTGTTTCGTATGAAAACGTAATTTACTATATAATTTATGTCAGGTACTAAGAAAGCGTTGAAATTAATTGTCATGAATATAGTTTCAAGGCAGAACGGTCCGAAATGGCAGACTCTGCCCTAGATCTGTAAAAACATTAATATCTAGTTGAATTTATATATTTTTAAATTCATAGGAGTATTTTCTTAGTTACTTTGCGTGGTATATAATTGTCCGTGAATCGATATCAAGATATACTGAATGCTACCAAAAGTCTTACTTAAGAAAGTAATTAGTCACCAATTCACAAGAGTTAGTGTGGTTAGTTATGGTTTTTAATTGGTTAAGAAAGATACGCACATTGATGAATCTAGTTGACACGAACTTGTCGAACAAAAATGCTAATTAATACGACGAAGGTCACGAATATAATCCGTTGATAACATTTATGGGCCAAGTGTTGCTGTTATTACCGGCCCAGCTATTATATTGGCCAAGTATCTTGATCCAGACGAAAGATATCATAACATTTTCAATAAAACGAACAATAGACGGTATATTTTATTAAACGAACAACAATTTTACCATTTCTAAGACTTATTTACTATTGAGAGCTTGAATCCCAAATCGAGGAAAACGACAAGCCGGTCAAATGGCCCGGTCTTAAGGTCACCATCGGTACCGTTTGTTCAATGTAAGGAGTGACATTATTATACTATGATTCATCACATCACATGCATGCAGCATGTACTACATCTCCATTGTTAACCCTTCTTCTCTCCTTTTCTATAAGTGTATTTATATGGAAAACAACATTCATATTTTAAAACTATAAAACTAATAAACAAAAAAACAATATGTGAAAAAATGTTAAAGTGAAGCCATTGCTTATCCACTTTGTATGTTGTTGGGCCCTCAACGTTTTTAGCCCATTCCCAAGTAGCCGAATCAAGCGTACGGACAATAATTAGTTTTCCGAATATTACTAAAAGCCCCTCCATGTTTTTATGTTTCACACTATCCACTCGGATTTGTTCAGATTTTGGACACAAGGCCCACAACTTTCGTTCTCACAACTCCATAACTTTAATTTTTGTTTTGTTTTGAGTTCTGACAAGTAGGCATATGCATATCTCATTATTATTACTTTGGTCATACCACATAAAATTGACTGGACGTTTCGAATGCTTTAAAAAAAAAAAAAAACCATTTAACCATATTGATAACAATTAAATGTTTCGGATGAAGTTTCGGTATGGGTGAATGATTACAAAACTTTTCCAATTTCGAGACTTTGTTAAACGACGAGAAAGCAAAAAATTCACGAGGTCCTTCATATTTTTTGTTACAGAGCTAAGTAAAACGAATCTCACGAATCGTGTGTTATTTAATCACGTTTTATGAGAAAAATATACGTTTTAAGACTTTACAGATGCGTGTTTATAAATAAAAAATTGTTTACTGGCTTGTCAATTCTTTTGAGTTTTGACACTTTAATATTTGAATGTAGGACTCAAAACATTTGCAGACAGTAGATCCCACAATTAAAATCTTGGATTGTCCGGTTTGATACAACATAACCACATAAATTTTACGGATTTTTTTCGTAAAAAAAAAAATCAGTTATGTTTGAGAAAATTATGTTGAATAACTATCAAAAAAAATTATAATTAACCATCTAACCAATTCCATTAGATCCAATGGTTACAAATTTGACCACATATGCCACTTTTGATTAGAACTTAATTATAATTTTATTTTTGGTTAGTTAACAAATTCACCCTTTTGGTTAGTTTGAGGAATCCTTAACCCTTTTTTATATAGATATACTAGCGATTAAATAAAAATTTGTACTATATTTTAAAGTTTAAAAGTTTTCAGTTATTCGGTTTGGATGACTAACTAACCGGTTTAGCTAGTAGAGAGAGAGAAGTTGAAAAGTTAAGAGTGAGAGAGAAAAACCAATCTATTGCTTTCTATATAAAGGAGCTTACTTCCTCTGTTCATCTAGCAGCAAG